TACAAAGAAATGTATGGAGCGATGTTCGATGTTGAGTGTACGACGTCACAGACTCCAAAAAATAATCGTAAAAATATCATACTTTCGTTCTGAATATCGAGAAAACACTTCATACAGTGATTATTGGACCTTTAAAGAGTATTCTTAGGAAGTTTCAGCTGAATCCAAGTTTGAGCGATTTTCGTCGTAGTAGCACTTTAAAGTGAAGCCACTTATCTGTCTGTTTGACAAATTTTCTTCAACAAGTTCACCGCTATATCACCGCTATATTTTGAGCATGACATAAGCATGAGTGCTATATAGGCGGGATCTCCTCTCTGACTCTTACATCAAAACTATACCACAGGTATTCCAACTCAAATTTATTTAAATTTCCAAAACTATGACTGGAAAATCTAAGTACGCAAGATTGGATCAAAGTATGGTTTAGAACGAAGAATGGTATAACTGACTACCACGTATATGAAGTCAATAGATAGGTAGGACTATAATTAAAGTATGCATAAAATAAAGTCATCTGAGAAGCGAATATCTGGAAACGACGACGAATGATGAGATTGCATATGTAAAACTGTCTTCAAGATAACATTATAAGATTAGTATACATATGAATGACGTCATCACGAATGGAGAATTAAAATCCGTTATATCATATTCGAATTTATCAAAAGAGGTGTAGGACCTTAGTAGGGAAACTATTAGCAGTTTCTAGTTTCACTCGAGGATATATTAGGGTTAGTAATTGCATGTGATACGATCATTCATGCGTTACCGTTATCGACTGGTCAGTGGTGTGATCCATCGAGGTTTTGTCACGGCCATCTTGAATAAAACTACAATAGCTTCGTAGCAAAAACTGATGAAAAACTTTCAACCATTTAACGAATTTAGTCATTTCTTTTAGGCTTGTCTAGACTTTAGCTTTAAGAATCGATTCCCGACCTAAAATTTATCTTCGTTTCCTAGAGATTTGTTGTCTGGAAAGGCTGTATTAGTTCCGAACTTATACGAACAATCCACGAGCTCGGATTTTTCTAATAATACTTATCAAAGAGAAACAAACCTTGCCACCCTACCCCTACTGAGTATAAAAAGAGCCCGTTCCCCATCCCGGGAGGGCAGGAACCAACCTGCTGCTGGATTGAAGCTGAGACGTTTTTCTTTCTTCTCTTCTCTGGTATATTCACCCGATTCGAACCTACTGCGCACGGTTGTGGCAGCACCTGAACTGGCTATATCGTGCAGATCATCCAATTCACCAACAGTTTTCTGCTCACTTCGAAAGGCTTCTCCTGTAATGATCTTGATGTGAGTATTGGCCATAAAAATGGTTACCATAGAAACTGAACCTAAGCTAAAGTTAACATACACCTTAAACCAAAGCAACTGCGACATTTACGAATAATCAATGCAAAACCTTTCCTCTTTGATGGTCTTCATGGGATTACAGGTTGGTTACCATAGTAACCAAACTACCGTTAACTTTGACCTTATACAGGCTGGTTACTATAGTAACCGATATACACCTACAAATGCTCGAAAAATCCCTTCTCTCGTAATGGTCATGAAATAACTGAATCTAAATGTCAAACAAAATCAAAAACATTTTATGAAAAACGTTTCGGAACAAAAAATTGATCATAAATTGGTTACCAAAATCAAAAATCAAAAATATTCGTTCGAGAAAAACATTATACTTATCAACATAAGAGAATAGTGTTGTACCATAGTTGCTAGCATTGTCAGGTGAAGCGGGTTTTCTAAGTAAGTATAGAGTGCAGTGTTCATGTGCTGATGTTCATGCAAGGCCAATCATATTCCAAAGTGGGTGCTTGTTTTTCTAGTTTCTAGCAAATTTTACTATATATCAAACGCTAAAAAAACATAGGGGTAATATAATGAAAATTAGCTTTCTTTAAGTGGCTTAAGCGTGGAATTTTTATGCTTAAGTTTAGCATAGTTATAATCTACAGTTATTGGCTTAATTGAACTGACTGCGCATGCGTACTATATGTGCAATACGTCACATACTAGATATTTGTTAACTCCATTGTCGAGTACTATGTAGTAAGCAATTAGATTTTGATTTAACAAAACAGAATTAAAAGTTGTTGTAGAAAAGAAAAACGAATGTATGTCGATATAAGGACGGATGCATTGACATGCGCAATGCGCAGACACTCCTCCTCTCCCGGCCCAATCCCCCTCTGCGGCACTACGCATGTTCAGAATAAATGCATTGAGAAAAGCGTATGCTTGAAGATAGCTAAGCAAAGCAAAACATATAAAACAGAATGCATGTTATCTATAAATATTATAAATAAAAAGTACATCGACCATTACCCAATGCAACCTTCACTCTCCGTACCGCTTTAATTGTCTAGCTAGCTTCTGTCGCACTAGAATCTCCAAACATTTCCTTTCGAATTCCTTTCTTTCGTTTCATTTTTCCTTTGTTTTCTTCTTTTGATTTTTTTTTGTCATGTGTGTGTGTTTTGTATTGTTTTTCTTTTTTTTTCTTCTATTATTTCCTTTCCTTTTCCTCTCCATTTCCTTTCTTTTCATTCCCATCTTCTCCCTCTCTTCTTTTTTTGATGACAAAGAAGAAGGAAAACTGTAACCACAAAAGTAAATTCCTTCACCATACATGATACTCCCCAGGTATTCGCGCCTCACCTACCTTGCTCAAAGAGAGCCTTATTCTTGGACGCTGTGCCACTCTCTGGCTTGTTGTCAATGCCATTCTCATTAGACGAGCTTACATTACTGACTATTCCCTTCTCAAATTGTTCTCGTGTCTTGGAAGCCACTCCCCTCGATGGTAAGGCGCCTTCTTCATCTCTTTCTTTGCTGGATGACACGTTACTCACGTTTCCTTGCTCAAACATGGTTTTGGTGTTGAGAGCCAGTCCCGAAGCTGGTTTGATATCATCCTGAATGAAAAATTCACGCATCCATGAATTTAACTTAGTGCGGTTATCGATATTCTGCGAACTCAGCATCTCAACACTTTTTGTGAAATTGGTCTTTCGCTGCCGCCAGCCAAGAACATAAAAGGTACCGACTGATTATTTTTGATTGACGGCCGCGAAAAAAACAAATTTGAGGGCGCAGATTATAACTACCAAGTTCGCAGAATAGACCCCTTGCATGTGACGTCAAAGTAGTTTAATTTGAAGGACTAAACAAAAGAATTCCCATCTCCTGAGAATTGGAAAACTATTGTTTTGCCCTCCAAATTGAGCTGCATTCCGACGTACTGAAACTGGGTCTATATCGAAAACAACTATTAAATATGACAGATATCTCTTTATGAAACCCCGCGACGTGTGCATACGTTGTGAATGTAAAATATCATGGCATGGACATGGCACTTGACAACGTCCAGTGAGCCAATCGAAGCGCGGGAAGGCAAAGTCAGTAGGACAGTTCTTTTTAAATTTCCCTTTTTCCCTGTTCTTTGTCACAAAATCAACCGACCTTCAAATCTTTCTTAGTTTCAGCATTTTGTACTTGGCCAGTTTCAAAAGCTTCCCTAGCGGAGGAAGCCAGTCCTCCGTGAATCTCGTTTAAGCCTTCGTCAACGTAGCGAGTGTACGATCCCTGGTGACGGTTTTCGAACACTGATTTAGCTTGTGAAGCTATCCCTGCCTATAAACGAACGGTGATGTCATATATGTCAGACGTTTGAATTCGAATATGAGCAAATGGGATAAAGTGAAATGAAATATATGAATGTCATATTCATGAGTAAACGAACGTTGACAAAATAATGACGTACGTACGAATGGATAGATGTGTGAGCTGTTCAAAATTCCACTCAAAATCGAAAATGGTTACATTGGATAGTAAACTTTTTTTTTTATTATTTATTTATTTATTTTTATTTATGAGCTTTTAGAAACCGAAAAATACAATCCCAAGGAGATATATCAATGGGACACGTAGTCCTTTACAAAGGTCAATCTCCAACAGACCGCAGAGCAGCACATGATGTACCTAGATGCTTCCGTAAGAGTTAGCATCAGTTACACAAAGGATCGATTTCCAAACGTGTTGTTTCGTTCCCTGTACGTTGACAGTTTTTTTCTCCAGTTCTCGAATTATTCTCTTTTCGAGCGCAAGTTCCAAGTTTCTTGATTTATGTTCTGGTTCAAGTGCGCTGGAGAATGCCATGCATTTATTTTAGCTGTGGATGAAACTACTGAATCATTTGATTCTTTTAACTATTTATTTATTTATTATTCTTTATTAGTAATGAGTACAGTATCCTTACCTCGGGTAGATCATCGATCTGTCGGCTTTCAGCGCTCGTCGTATTCGAAACCATTCCGCTTTCGAACTTCTTTCGGCTGGCCGTCGCTACTCCTTCGGAAACGACTGTGACGTCATGACTGCTTCTTTCTGAGTCCGCCATTGGTTGATTCTCAAATAGATCCCTTGCTCGTCTGGTACTGCCTTTACGAGGAAGCTCGTTTTCTGCGATCTTACCTTGTTCTTGAAAGTCACTACAAGATAGAAGTACAAGGTTTACCTTACGTCGAAAAATTCGTTTAGTGGTCAATATCTATCCGTCCGTCCGTCTGTCCGCCCGTCCGTCTTACCGCCAGTCCGTCTGACCGCCCGTCCATCCGTCCGTCCGTTTGTTCGTCCGTCCCTCCATCCAACCATCCATCCCTCTATCCATCCATTCATCCATCATTTCATTAATTCAATCCTTCCTTGTCCATCTGCCAAAATTCTCAAAAAATAAACACTACTTAGTGATGATTCCAAAAACAATTTACTCTTAATTCTTCCACTAGCTAGCAAATGATTCATAGGCTAGCCATTCTTTCATCTAATGACACATGCTGCTTGTCTTTCACAAAATACTCTTGTAATCTTACTTATAATCTTAAAATTCAAGTTCCCGAGGAGCAAATTTTTTAAGTACTAAAATACCTAAAGATAAATCATCTTTCGTCTGAATAGTTTTGTCCCATAAATTAATTTGCCACCTATCAACAGTATTTAGTATGTTTTAGTATTTTTCTTTTTCACTATTTTGTTTACTTGAAATATTGATCATTTTGAATCCTTGAGCTTAAAAACACAAAATTTCATCTCACTTAAGATAAAAGCTCCGGCCAAACTTAATCCAAAATCAAAATATCATTTCCAAAATATCCTGCATTCATTCAGATGTCAAAGCTTGCTAATGTCAAAGCCGCATGCATGCTGCTACGATTACCATTGAAAACCAAAACACAATTCATATTCTATTTTTTATGAATTCAATATCCTAGTATCCAGTCGTATTCTTATATTATCGCCTTCTATAAGTTGTCACTTTTAGGATATTTATTGCAAACTCTAATTCAACATTTTCAATATTTTTATAATGATTTTTGGCTTTACATTTGTGTTTCACTTTCAATATTATTCAATTCAAGATATCCATAGTTAAGATCTTTCCGTTCTTGTGCTAACATAATAGTAATATTAAAAAAACTCTTAAAAATGACTTTATTACGCTTTTGTCTTCCTCTTCTGATAATTCATTTAAATAATTTTTATCACATGACAAGTGTTGCCATAAAACCGCCATTATTTTTCAAAGTTATGTTAAAATCACTATTTAGCTATTTTTATACAACGAAAAGAAACCTTGCTCAGCTTAGATATACGAATTACACAAGTGACAGGTTTTATGGTAGACAGAAATCTTCCGACATTTCTTCAAGAACTGATCTTATTTCTTCTCTTTACTCAGAGTGAAACATTCTTTTACTATTAAAGACCTCTTGGTTCTGCCAGTCTTATTTACGAATTATGAGGTTTCGAAGTAAGAGACTTTTTCCTACGGCAATGTCTGAAAATACAAAATACAACCGTTTCGAAGCTTTCCCTTTTGCTTACCTGTGTTTGAGCACCGCTTATACAAAACATACCTTATATCAGCGAGAAAAGGTTGTCTTTGGATTAATTTTCATGAAGTTAGGAGGAATATTAGCAGAAAAACAAACCTCTCTATAACAACTCCCTAAAACGACTGAAGCGGAGCCTGCGCTGACCAACACTACACATGCGTGAGTAAAAAGAGAGTGATTAACATTTTTACGATCTCGATCTGCCACAATCGTCTGAAGACTGTGGTATTTCCACGGGCAATTACTTAATGAATAAATTGAATGAAGGGTTATACCGAGCCAATGGGAGGAAGCTCTTTAATGGTTTTCATTCAAAATACTAGCAAAAGCTAAGTAGTAAGGGAACGATTTGGAATTGGTTGGAAAAAATACTGAAAGAAGGAATCTTTTTATTTCCTTATATTTTACTTTATTTCCTTTTTACTCGTTCATTCGTTCATTCTGTCATTCTTTCATTCGTTCATTCGTTCATTCKTTCATTCGTTCATTCGTTCATTCGTTCATTCGTTCATTCGTTCATTTATTCGTTCATTCAGTCAGTTAGTCTGACAATAGCTTTTATTATAAATAAATTATTTTAGTTTTGGAATTAATAAATTGGCGTGCTTTTGGTTATATGTACTTAGCGAGCGAGCGCGTCACATGATCGCGTGACCTAGTAATCGTCTTTTTTAAACCTCTTTAGGTACACTTTAATGTCTTGATTTTTTCCTTTCCCCAAAATAGCACAAATAGTGCAGCTATCTCTTTCGTGTTAACACTATATTGATATTTGTTTTCAGTATTGTTTTTATAAAATAGTATGTTTTTTTTCTCTTAACCTAATAATCCCTTTCACAGTTCCCTGCGCCATCTTGAAAGGTAGTTGTGTAATTGCTTGCAAAAGCTTGCAAAGATAGAGACATGTGAATGATTGTTCAAGGTGTTAAAAAAAGTCTTTATCATTGCAAGCTCACCGTTCGTCTTGCTTCAATGCAAAGTCACAGCTACCTTTCAAGATGGCGCAGGAAACTGCGAAGGGGATTATTCTAGTAGGTATAAGGGTACAAAATACAAATGTTGTCGTTTCTTATGTCTATATACTAACAATATATTAGATGGGGTTTTTTTCCTTGTCGCTACCAGTAGTAATGTAGGCGTAATGTTTTCAGATTTTGATCTAGTCTAGAAACCACTTCCGATCCTTGATAACTATCTAATTATTTATCATATAAGAACATGCGTAATAGGTAAATTATGAGCCTTGTTTGAAACGACCTAAGAAGAGGGCCAATGGGCCTTTCACAACTTCAAGTCGCGTAAAAAATGAGCCAGCTCAACTAGAAAGCGTGGACGTCCTACACATCAATAAAGACCAATTTAAAACAAAAACAAAAACGAAAATTTTGCTTTCCGGAACAGACGCGTGCCCGTTAACTGCAAAGGGCCTATTCAACGTATACGTTAAAGAAGTCTAATGTAAATCCATCCAGACCGAACCGATTGTAACGTATGTCCTGGAGTGTTACTAGAAAAGCAATTTCAATAATACTCAAGGGAATGATGACACGTGATTTGATATCTATTTTAAGAATCATTTCATTTCTTTCATACTTTAGATACTGTACACTACACTAAGCATGAAGATTCCGAAATCTATATTCAATGTATCCTCCATATGTATATGTTGCTAACATCAAATACGATTATAAGAAATATGATAATAAAGCTGTATCCATTTTTAGAAGTCGCCGATTGTCCAACTTTTACATGAAGGTAGGGTGGCCCTAGTGCTATTAAAAAAAAACGAGTCTTTTTTGATCTTCAGGGGAATGAGCCCTAGCAGGAGGGTCTTTTACCCTAACTTACGCAACGAGGTCCAAGCACTGTTAACTTACAATACATTCCAAAAAAGGAGAAGGCATCTAGCAGAATATGCTCAACTAACAAAAGCACAGTTTGAAGTCGGATGGGCATTTAAAGTAAGCCGAATCAAAACCTCGTAATAGTTTCACTATGCAAGGCTATAAAAATACATTGAATACTTCAAATAACTTGACAAATAAGTATTCGAAACCAGCCAATTGAAGATATACAAAACAATTTTTTTCTAGGGGGAGGGAGCGCATCATCCGGATTTTCGTTGTAGGATGGGGTGCACCCTTTGCTTACAAACTCAAACACCAATTATGAAGTAGTAGATATCAGCTCATCTGGGAGAGGTGGGGTACCTGTGGTACCCGCACACCTCCCCTAGATCCGCCCCTTCATAGGTACAATTTTGTTTTTTGATTTACGTGCTATTATTTTGAGTATTATTTCTTTCTCTATTACTAGTAGTGTTTGAATAAGGAAAATACTGCACAAGAAGAACAAGGGACATCGTCAACTCCTAAGATATTTGAGAAAAGGAAAAATTCTACGTCCAAATGTTTCGATCTTATCTTAGTAGTTTTAATACTTCAAACCTTTCGCTACCAAGCAGGGTAGGGTGGGGTGAATGATTCAAACAGATCACCCCCTCCTCGCCAAATATATTCAATTCTTGATATGCAAACATAGAAATATCTTCACAAAAGTCTCGACAAAAAGTCTATGATTTATGTGAATATTTTCATTGACCTACACCTCTTATTGTTGTGTACATATTTTCTCAAGGCAACACTTTTTTGAATAAACCAAGACTAGAATGAAAACAGGCGAGTTTTGATTGATTTGAAGTGGCGTGTGGATATTTTTCAACCAATCACTCTTGGGCTCGGTGATCCGAACACAAGAAGGTCAAACCTTAAATGCCTCAAAATTTTAGTCAAACAAGCTAGATAATTACTTCTTTCACAAAAAAAAAGTCGAAAATGGTTACCAGTTCGTTGTACTTTCATGTCCCGGCTTTGTAGCTATCAATCGACTTTGCGTTTTTTCTTACTAGATATCTTTTACTCTTCACTGATTATGTCCTTAATTAACAACAAGCTAACTTAAACAAAAGGCTTATGACTTAGACTTCTGATTATTTAAACATAAACAAAAAGTCCAAAAAGTCCTCATATTTTGTCCAAAAATAGCTGGGAAGAAACCGTGGGTTGACTCTCTGTTGTCAAGCAAAAGTCTCAGTGAAAAATGTGTTGTGACACGTTTGCATGAAGTACCTAAATGATTCGTTAGTCTTAGTATGATTCTCAAGTGTGTCCTTGAGCTACGTCATTCAAAAAGTGATAAATTGAATTTATAATGATCGATATTCGAGTTTTAAAAGATCATTTTGTCTTTTAAGAAGCTTTTTTCGAGTGAAACATGATACCCAAATCCACCTCTAGCCTGGTACGGATTCCCTACTGAAAATTCACCTGTTGCGTGAGCGCTCGTTAATTCATGTTCATTCCACCAAAAAATAAAAATAATATTGAATCAACAATAGTAAAATAGTAGTCACGAAGCTTAAACTAGCTAAGAGAATTGCGAAAAAATTACTTACGGCTTTAGCCACTGAAAATCAGAATAACGTAGGAAAATTACTGACTAGACAAAAGACCATTTTTACTCTTATTCAAAAGTCAATTATTTGTTTTTTAGATCAAGAATTAAACAAAAATATTCGATAATGATTATAAAGTAAAACAATTATCTAATAATTAACTTCTAAATTAAGGCAGAATTCTTAACGATAAATAGAACTCGCCCATATTTTCTCATTTCAAGAAGGCTATAGAATACTTAAAAACCTCAATAAGCGGTTTTAATTTAGTATGTTCACACATGAGCTTAAGGGTTGATATTGTACCTTGAATCATTGTCGACTATATCTGCAAGGGTAGCACTGCTAATAGACTGAACTTCCATCATTGGTTTAGAGACATTTTCTTCTGTGACCGAAACCTGCTGATGATTGCTTTCAAAATCCATGTTTTATGTCGAAACTTGTTCCACTTACGACAACAGAAATACAGTGGATAAGATCTGTCGCCAGGGTTTTTTTACAGACCGATGGTATAATGAGTATGCAGCAACAGAGAGTAAATTAGAGACAATGTTTATCTATTTACATATTTCCCCCCTCCCACTTTAGGTTTGGATTAAAACGGACCTGGGGATATTTTATAACTTTAGTAGCGGTGTCGGGAAATAGTCGAAAGTTGTGATTTAAATTCAGAATTACTTTTAGAGCGCTTAACTAATATTTTTTTCCTATGAGTAGAGCTACGCAAAAAAGTTCAAAATATATCAGATAGATAAGAAAAATTATAAAGTGAAATTGATGTAAAGAAATGAAAAGAAAATGAAAGATGAAAAATGAAAAATGAATTAAAAAGAAAATAAAAGAAAGAAAGGAAAAAACAATGAAACAATGAAAACAAAATGAAAGACAGAAATGCAAACTAAGCATGAGAGCTCGAATGAATTACGATCTTTATTGATTATGACTGGCACGAGTCAGTATATATATAAAGGCCAGTTTAGTACGACTTTCGCCTCCAACTACTAGTATCGTATACAACACGCTCGCGCCATACTACAACTCAAGTCGTAGCAAGTAAATCAAGCCTACAACTCGCCTACGACAGACGCGTGCAACACAAAAAAAGTTGTAGGATTTAAAACATGTTTTAAAAAGCTACGACAATCGTAGGTGTCATGACGCGAGCGTGTTGTATACGATAGTTGTAGGCGAAAATCGTACCGTCTAAACTTGACTATACTATAAAACGTCAAGAAACACACGGCTCTGTCACGACATTCGACTAGCCAATGTTGCGCACGAGGTTATGTCTCATCCATTTGGAATTTTAGGATACTACAGCGTTACAGTCACGTGTAATAATATATCATGTCACGCAACATTAGGTTCATTTATGTAAAGAATGTAATACGTTACCCTTTCTATGTCTATTGTATCAAGTCAAAAACCAGAACAAGAATACCGAGGTATTTTCGTCTTTAGAGCACATAATCAGAATCAAAGCTTCCTCCAAATATCATGACATCACGCACTTTCATTAAATTGTTCTCTCATTCCACTCCTGTTTTCTTACCACCCCCTCCCCCCC